TTCATGAACTCGTTGACTATCCCATCCGCTCCTGCTGCTTTGTGGCACTTCAGCTTGTTCACACACGCCTCAACCTCGTCCTCAGTGAACTCCTTTTCTAGTTCTACGTTCCCAACGTCTGCCTTCGATGTCTCTTCCTTCTGGGCACATGCGTCCACCTCCTGCTTTAACACTTGATCAAAAGCTTCATTCTCCGAGGGCACTCACTCCAAGTCTCTTGTAGTGTCCTCTGGCTAGAACTTCCCTTTTTCCCTTCCCACTGCTGACTAATCCACCGTTCACACCTCGCAAAGTTGCGACCCCTGTATCCCCCCCTTGCGCGGTCTTTTTTACCATTCCACTAATCCCTTCCCACATCTGCTTGACGTTTCCCTCCAGACCTCCGTTGGCCTTCTGCACTACTTCGTCCCAAATGCGCTTTTTCTTCTTTTTCACTAGTCCCTTCACCCGTTTTTTCTTGGCCCTGTACTTTTCCCAACTCTCCTCAGACGCCTCACTCAGGTACTGCTTGAAGACTTCTCTACGTTCCCCTATTTCTTCTTTCAGCTCGTCATCCCACCACTTAACCGATACCCCACATCGTACCACCCTCTTTCCCACTACTCTCTCTGCCGTTGCGTTCACTATGGACTCCCACCCTTCAATCACCCTGTCCCCTGCTGCTTGTACGTTTACCTGCCCGTCTTCGACGCTTCTCAGAAGTTTCCTGAAGGGTTCTACACTAACAGCAGGTCCCTTCTGGAATTCATCCCGTATCCCCTCGTCTCCCAAACGCTCTACCTTCCACCGGAACACTTTCCTCTGTTCCTTACTCTCCATCTTTCTAGATCGGTCGATGTTTGCCCATATGAGGACGTGGTCGGTCGTCTTTCTTCGACGACGGTGGGACGAATACGTTCCCTAGAAACAAAGCTCTTACCCCGCTCCCTAGGTATCTTAAGCCATTGGCTTTCCTCGAACTCCGTGTTCACCACTGCTTCCACCACGTCAAACAAGTGTTCCTTGACCAGGAATCCGACTCCCCCCTCCCCCATTTTCTTTGGCTCTAAGCCTTTTCTTGCCTTCCCTACCCACCGGTATTTCCCTAGTTTGCTTACCACGTCACCANGGGGGGGGGGGGGGGGGGTGGCGAATATTGAAAGAACGTCACAATGTCTCAGCAGAAATGGTCAATATGCAGATGCATAGCTGAGTCAACAGTAGAGAAAATGGAAATGAGGGCAGCACAGATGGAGAGAGGGGCGGGGAGTGGAGAGTGAAAAGTGGCACTTGAACCCTTTTGTGAGAGCGCCTCAACCAAGATGTGGAACGTCACTGAACAGGATGCTCGTCGCGCACTTTCTTGTTTGTGCCCGGAACCGGTCTCTGGAACGGTACAATCTGTGAAACTGAAAAGGTATCCATCTCTTCTCATCCCAGGCCCCTCCCCGTCGTCCCCTCCCCTTTCCTGTCCCTCGTGGCATTGTTTTCGGCGGGTATGCAGGCTGATGGCGGTGATGGAATCGCAGGTCGCCAAAGCCGACCAGGACCTTGGTAGCGCCGACGCATCCCGTGGCCGTTCTGCGAGACAGATGTGAGTGCTTGGACCTAACCTCGCCGCCGTTTTTCTGCTGCGCGCAACATGGTTGTGTCGGTTTGTGTTCTGGGTATGCTTGGTGGTATCAAGGAGAGTAAATAAATGTCGTCCTTGTTTGAGTGTCCACTGATCGTGCCCCTTATGTTGTAGCAGTACGACAAGGTTTATAGGGCTGCGGTTTCTTTTTTCGGGCAGTTTTGGTATTTGCTGCAGGTTTTCGCGTGTTTTCTGACTTGCACATTGACACATGTGTGCAAAGGATGCCGATCATGGCCTGCATATGGTAGTTTTTTTTTTTTCTGTTATTTTTCTCCGTCTGACCCCCGGTATCAGGAGCGAAGCAACGGAGCTGGCCAGGAAAGACAGGTGTTTATATCATGTTTTACGTTGCGTTTGGTGGCCCCGGGAATGACCATCGTGGTGGACACATACCCCCACCCCCACCCCTTCCCGTTTCTCGTGTTGGCGATTTTGGCGCGCGGAAACCTTACGCCGGTGTAACTCCGAAATCGTTCACACTGAAGCCGCCACGCAACGCCGGGTGTCTCGACACACCATCTATTCCTAACCTCTCGCCACGCACCTCTCCCTCTCGCGTTCGTTTTCCCTCGCTGGTGCCTCCGCAGGTCGACGGCCGGTGGCGCGCACTCGCAAGATGGGGCGACCAAGCCGCTCGTGGCACGCGTGGCCGAGCTGGAAGAGAAGCTTGTGGTCTGCAGTATGGAGAACGCGACGGCGAAGCAGGTTGGGAGCAAGCAAGGAAGGGAGAGAGGGAGGGAGGGAGATTGCGCAGGGTTTTGTGTGGACCTAGTCTGTGGCGTTTGGCGGTTGTTGCTGCCCCCCCCCCCTCCGCTGTGCGCCGCCCACTGGTGCTTAGATAGCCCGGTTCGTCTTGTTGACACGAGGGGGCGGGGGGGGCTGTGATCTCCCCTGTATTGCCGCGTTGTTCGTGATCCCACAATACGGGCACCCTCCCAAAACATGTGTCAGAGCGTGTTGCCAGGGTAGGTGGTCTCTCAACGCCATATTGATGCCCCAGGTTCAATGCCATGACAGTTGCGGAATTGCTCCATGCTGAATCATGGCCTATATGCCGTAGGTGGATCGGATTCCGTGTGTTGGCGTGTGGTGCTCCACCGGAATTATTCTCATGCTGTTGCAATTTGTGATACTTGCCTTTATTGTGCTTGCTTCACCGAGCTCGTGCCAAACGCGATTGGTAGCTCCACGATCTCAATCAAGTTCATACATGGTGCTACACTTCGTGATGGTATTGCCGCGGAATGGCACGACCCAAAGTCCATCGATGTACTCTCATGCCATGCTCTCCCTCCCGATCCGACGCCATTCAACAGGAGCACCTGACGTCACAGCTGGCAAGCCAGAAACTTGACAAGACTCTGCAGAAGCTGAGGCACGAGCTGGCCAAGTCTCGAGCCATGAACGACCTTCTCCAGAACGAGGTGCCGAGAGGGAAAAGTAGCTTTCACAAGGAATTTCAAGGTTGGGTTTTGTAGGGGGTTAGGGTTGGGGATACGAAGCCCCCCTCTTTTTTTCATAGGTGAACTCTACAATCCTCGCGAAGGCGGTCGGAATAAACAACGAGAGCCGGCATCCATACCCAACCGAGTGTCAGCACCAACGCGTAGCCTTGTTTTTCACCCCCACTTTCGGGCCACGGAACATTCCTCTCACCTCGGGTTTTGATTTTCTTTTTTCAGATCGACCGGCTGCAGGGTCGCGACCCAGAGGGTGAGGCGGACGGCAGCGGTTGGCGGCGATGGCTGGGTGGGGTACAAGAGCCCTTGTCCCCGGAGCCCAACCCCATTCAGGTCAGTTTTTTTTCTTGTGAGAGATGGTTCTGTTAATTTATTTTTTCTCCCTCGCACCTTCTGCGTTGTAGACTGATCTCGAGATGTCCCATGACTGCAGGAGTTTGAGATCAAGCCGTTTTTGAACGCAGCACGCCATGTCGACTTGGTCATCCCTCTTGCTTGTCCGATAGTATTGTTGCTCCCGCCTCAACGTAGCTAACCCCAACCCTAACCCTAGCCCAACCTGTCAGCTTGAGTTTAATGCTACGGCGTTTGTGTGTTTATAACCATCACAGCGCCAACGTGCTGATTCATGTCAATACGTGAGTCTCAGCGCGGCTGGCAACAGAATGTGTGTGTGTTTGTCCCAACAATTTAGAGCCTTGTTGTTTGTTCCCGCACGTCGAACTGACAACCAAGCTCTTAATTGTTACCATCACAGCGCCAACGTGCTGATTCATGTCAATTCGTGAGTCTCAGCGTGCTGGCAACAGGATGTATGTGTGTTTGTCCCAACAGCTTAGAGCCTCATTTGTTCCCGCACGTGTTGAACTGACAACCAAGCTCTTAATCTTGACATTCATCCCGATTTGCCCCCTTCGGTGGATAAGTTAGCCTGTGACCTCGGGAATCGACCGCGTCAAGTGTTAAGATTACTAAAAAGTACTGAAAGATGAAGGTACTTGACAGAGATATCGGAACGGTTTTGAATGTGAGGACAACAACAACAACAACAACAATCGCGACCCATTCGACTCCCCCTTTTTTCAATCCCTTGGCGCTCTTGCTGTTTCTCCGTCGCAGGTTACCGGAGGTAGCGACAGTCCGGTGGTGGTGGTGAGAGACCTTGACAACAACCAGCTTGTCTATGCCCCCGGTCGCTCCCAGTTCGGGTGATGTGACCCCTAATTGCGATCACGTGACTGCATTCGTAAAGAGAGTGCGCGGGGTGTGCTGTGATGGGGGTATGCACATGGGATGGTGCAGTCTAGGGGGAGCTAAGCGGGAGGAAGGCACTGGCCGTGGCCGAAGGTTAAAGGAAGCGGCGAAGAAGAAAGGGAGCAGGTACTGGGCGGCGAGTCCTGTTGCATGCTACCCAAGCAGAATCGTCTGAATGGGTGGCACGTCATAGTTTTTTCATGGAAAACCCGAGCACGTTGTTGGCTGTTATTTTGGCGTTCCACCGGTGGTTGACTTGTGTTCCTCACAAATGTATGTAACACGGCGCGTCACGGATCCTTGTGTTTTGAATTTTGTCACGTATCAGGTAGTAGCCCTTATCGTGGTTTTCATCCCAAATACCCGTCCCACAGGGAGAGGGCGGGGAGGTGGGGGGGGGTGAAGTGTTGAGGGACAAATGGCGGCGACGATGCACTCGTTCTTTATTGATTATTTCTCCCTGATGGATGTGGCTGGATCGCATTCGAGGTGTTGACGTCGTTGGCCTCGGCGTTGTGGTTGCTACGGAGAGTTTGAACGTGGACCGCTGACAGTTGACCTGCGATGTCAACAGAGGGTACTGCACAACCTGTTGTTTACTACCTCAAACACGAAAGAAGGGCCGACCGCTGCAGTGCCTGCGCAACAGATGATAGCCGCCACTTGTTTGTCGAGGCCGTTCTCTGGGGCATGCGGAGGGGCGGGGGAAGGGGTATGGCAGGGGCCAATAGCGGCCCTGCGCATTAGTCAAAATATTTCTTAGATTGGGTTTAGGTGCGTAAGATAGCCCGTGGAGTGCACTCTTTGTACGTGCTGTTCAGTGTTGTCTGTTGATTTCCTCGCGCCTCTCTAGCCTGTTTGTAGCAGAGAACTCCCTGATGTTATCATCTGTTGGCACGCTGTCATGATTGCATGCCAATACTAGTATTGTCGTGGCCACCAACCCTGGGATAGTTTCGATGTACAGGCCTAGCGTAGCTTGGTTGCCGACGAGAGGGCGGTCGGTTGTTGGTTGGCCTGGCAGCAATGACTATGTGGTAGAGGCGTGTTGTTCGTTGTTCGGCAGCACGTCCGCGTATGGTGGCGTTTTGAGGCTCGTGCTCCTGTGGATGACGGGTGATACAAGCATGCATCAAGAACTCCGTTGGCGGCGCAGGTTCCTCACGGTTTCGTTACGTTTCGTTGACGCATCGCGTGCCGGCGTCACGACATGGATGGCTCGGGTTGGCGTCGACTGTTTCCAACCATGCAGGTCATGAGTATGCCGCCGTTTGCGCGATCCCCATGGGCTCTTCGCTATCCACATGCATACATAGATTTTTCCGTTGGTACGAGGATAAGAGGTAGGGCGCCTCCGAAATAATGAGATAGTGGAACTGTGAAAGGTTTGTAATCGTGGGTTCTGATAGCATCCGAAACGAAGGCGTTTCCGTTAGTGTACAGGAGTGAGATCCAATAGCAATCAGTTTTATGAAACGACAAAGGTGGCTGGTGTTTGGGTTGGATTCAGAAGGTTTGTGGGTTTAGGTTGGGTTATATGGGTGGGATGGATTGTCTTCGATATTGGAGTACACCTGTGGGTAAAGATTTTAGCGACCATCTGCGAATGGGTGCACGATAATTTTTTGTTGCGGCAGCCGTGTCTGTTCTGTTGTTGTCGTCTACTCTCTGGCGGCCACTTTAACGTTTTTAGAGAGTAGACTAAACATAACCTCACAGAAAGACTACCCGTTCGAGATAAAACCTCAGTCGAAAGGGATGTGGTGAAGTCTTTTCAGTTTGTGGATTGAAACCAACTGGAGACTTGGCTAATTTTGAGTTTGTGTAAGCCTAACACTGAGTCATCAGTAATGCCAGTTGGAGCAAAGAACAAAAGCCACTTTCACTTTTCACACCTGCTTGCCTTTTTTTTCACCGTTGTCTTTTGTGGGCGCATCCACCATCGACAGAGGCTAGTCGTCACAAGAGACAAAGAAAGGAATGAGACAACAAAAATCGAACCCTCGGGGGTGTGAGCATTTTTCGTTTTCTCGGCCGTGCACCAAACTTATCAAAACACACATCCACGCACGTGTGAAAGAATGAAGTGTTTGCAGGCCAGGCAAGTACAGAGCATTTTACTCTTCTTCATCGCTGGAGAGCAAATAAGGTATTATTGTGTGATCGACGACGAAGCATTGGATGGCTTTCGTTCGACAGGACATTTCTACCTCCTCTGCGCGGAAGATATAATCCCAGGATAGTATAATAGTACGTGCTTCCTGCTGCTTCCCCCTCCCCCTCTAGACCTGTCTGTACCTCGTGCCCAGTCTAAGTAAGTTGGTGGCGTTGTATGCCACGAGTGGGTGAACGATCAAGTGTTGTTCCATGCTCTTTTGTACTCGTCGGGGAACACCTGCAAGTGTATCAAACCTACGTGTGATCTTGATGTAGTATGTATGCGTATAGTCTATGCGTTGTGTTGATAATGTCGGTGGTTGTGCCGGCTAGTCATATGTAGACTACTAGTACTAATACTTTCTTCTTTTGTAATAATTTACGAAGTCGCCAAACGAGATTGATTCCAAAAATATGCGAGCATATTAAGATTGCGTGCAAGCACTGCCGTTGTACACTGCCGCGCCTTCTGTTAGCTTCATTGAACCGTTGAAGTGCTGCAATTCAGTGGCTGTGGAATGGTCGCTGTCGAAGGAGTGTGTGGAGTTTTTTTGTGTTGTTATTGTCGCCCAGGGCGGGGCCCCGTAGCCCCCCGCCCCCCCCGACGGCCATCATCGGTGGTCTCCACCCGTTGCATCACCACGAAAATGTAGGAAGGAAAGGCATTATCTCTCTTCTGTCTCACATCAAGCTTAGGAAGAGGCTGTGCCTGACAAAAACCCGAAGCCCTCCACTCAGTCCTCACTATCGACATCATGATGGTCCCCGAAGGAGACGAAGAGGACGATTTCATCGTGCCGACCATGCCAGCGACGACGGCAGAGGCGGGCTCCTTGTCCGACGCTCAAGGGGACGCGTCCACGCGTGGATGGGGGAGCTATCTGGGCGGACTTGTGTTCGCTCGTGCCAAGGAGCCTGCGCCTGCGTCGGAGCCTGAGCCAACTCTACCGTCAGGGTTTTCGGCCACTCTCAATGCGGAGGAGGAAAAAATATATCCAGCAGAGGTGAGGTCCTACGAAGGTGGTGGGTGGGCCCTACTGGGACGGGAAGGGTCCGCGCGTTGGTTTTGCCCCCCATGCGGAGGACGCCGGATCTCTTTGGGCTCCGTGTGTCTCGTAGCAAAGAGCTGTTGATTCTGTCTCTCACCCAACATCTTTCTTTCACGCTTTTTCCCTTCCCCATGGCACGAGAGCCCACCAGCGAATACTTGCTGCCTCTCTGTTGCGTCTGCCTAGCCTCACGCTGCGCTTGTGTCCTACCACCGTTGTCACGATAATTCGATCGTGTCCGCTTGGTGGCAAAGAGAGGCACACAACACCTCCTTTCAACGGTTGTGTGGATGCCCTGCCAGTAACTGTTCGGAATAACATAACGTTTTAGTGAGAGATTTTTGGATTCATGTTGCAGCTTCCCCGCAGCAGGGGCAGGAACCCTGATGGACACAGAGCTTTCCTGCAGCAGTAAATAGAGCTAATGCTTCGATGGGTCCCTGTGGGCTTCTGCCACGATGTCTCGCCATCAAGCTTGCGGCCACCGTCGTGGGATCTGTTGCTGTAGTACCAGAAGCGTGTCCTGCAATAGTACCAGAAACGTGTCCTGCAATACAAAGTTAAATATCACTCCTTCGTTCGACAATTGACGTCAAAACAGCAGACCAAAAAAAACAAAACAGCCGGCGATTGATTCGGCGCTGCCGCAGTCATTCGAGCGAACAAGCTGCTGTATCTGCTCCCATGGAGTAGCTTTCAGTACATCCTCGCACCAAAATGAACAACAGCAGCATCGGCAATGCAGCAGCTGCTGGAGCTCAATATCCACCTTTTGCGTTCATGGAGCCGACGTCCCGGTTGCTTTTGTGAAAGCAATGTTCAGAGTCCTCGAGGCCATAATAAAACTCCGCGCCAAATCACTTCGCGTCACGAACCGGACACCAGTTTTGCGCAAGTATTGCCCCCACAGCAGTACCTGCCGTTTACACTACATTACGAGCTTCGAGCCACACGGTTTTCTCCTCATAGTAAATGAAAACGCCATCTAGGTGCCAGGTGTATCCGTTGGTCGTCTGCCGCACAGGCGGTTCAGACAGTTGGAATCTGTGGCATCATGTGGACCACCATCATGTGGACCACCATCATGTGGACCACTAGTTGTTGTGTTGACACATCGACACACTCACCGGTCGCCCCGGTGGTCTAGTGGGTAGCCTCGCAGCCTGCTAAGGGCCAGGTCATGGGTTCGAGTCCCGACAGAGTGAGTTTCTTTCTCGCTATCAAAATCCTGGTCTCCGTTGGAAGCGACGCGCTGCAAAGCTCGTTGTTAGTAAACTTGATCGACTTCGTCAGTCGCGAGGGAAGGGATTGCTGTACCCTTCTCGCGATAAAATATCTCAGGCAGGAACCGCAGGAGGGGGTCCAACCCCCCCCTCATATGTGACTCCGGTTGGGTCGTCTAGCTAGTAGAAGTGGAGGATAGGGGCCAGAGGGGCAGACGACAGAGTCCAACGATGGGAGACAACAAACAAAACAAAACTCTGTTTTTTGTGTCGTTTGGTGTGACATCCGCAATGTTCCAATTTCCGTTTTTTTCCTGAATATTGGTGTTGGGTGTGTGTGTGATGACGTCACTGGTTTTGTAGAGAGACGCGGCAGAGATGGCGCGGATAACCAGGGTGCGTTAATTGTGTACCTGCATCGTGGAAGACCCCTTCAATGTGGAACGATTCCTATTTAGTCAGTGTTGATGTTTATACTGCTGTGCCTAACACAGATGATCTGGATAGATTCGAGCGATTGTCAATTGTAATGATGGCTTGGTTGGGTGTTGTTCTTCCTTGTATGTCCACGGACTCATTCTGACACCACTTCAGACAGCAGCTGCATGCCCCGAGCTTGTGTACCATGCACCATGGTGTTATTATTGTACAGACAGCACTTCAGACAGCAGTACGCTGTAGTCGACCAACATTCATTTGGTTAAGTGCGGGACAAAGGGGATGATGCCGCTGCTGTTGTCGGATTGTAGTGTGGCCGTGTAGTTCAGTTGTGAGCACGCAAACGTGGCACAGGGATTGTAGGTGTACCTCCTCGGGCTTGTATACCCTTTTCTTGCTAATGGTGTGTGTGTTCTTTAGACCTTCTGATGGCTCTAGCACTTTTGTGACCACGGACCGAGTCTTTGCTAGACTTTGGGATTAGCAACTGACACGAGTTTAATGTAAAGAAAAACAACAATGCTATGCATAAAGCCACTTAGTCTCGTTGGCGTCCTGATGGCCAAGATCAGAGCTCGTCGAGGTTGGAAACATGTTGCTGTACGCTCTGTTGAAACAATGTGCAAAACTACGTATTACCGTTGAGTAGAGACTGTCGTGTTCTCCCGCGTCTGACAAGCGCCGTGCCTTTATTAGTACTGCTGTGGTATTCGGTTGCCAGTTGCCAGTCCGTTGTCCGCTCCCCAACCCGCTTAGTACAGCCGTGTAGTACTGCTGTACAAACCACGGATCTAGGAACGTTCCAAATCGCTTTATCAGAGAGACACACGTATTTCATCCTCCCTTCTTCTGGGCGACCAAGTGCTGCCACGGCTAATAGGAGGCAAGGGGAGAGCACCGTATTCAGCAGTCCAGTTCATTCGTCAGTTCGCGCCGCGGCGGTGGTTCACGCGGAGCTTTGCAGTACAGTTGAGGCCCGCACTTAAGAATATGGCACTTAAGAATATGGTGCTAAAAAAGAACAAGAATTAAGAATTTGCCGGTTAGAACACGTGCTCAGATTGCACCTGCAATTAAGAATAATAACGCACGCCTGAGGTGTACCACTGCTGCTAAAAAGATAAGAACAAGAGCACATTCAGCAGCTGCGAGATAAGAACATTCGAACGGGGAGGGGGGGACGGGCGGGGGGGTGATCCAAGTATTGGATTTGGCACGGGGGTAGATGCGCCGAAGGTGGGTGCATACATACACCTCGGAATCTGCAATTTTGCAGAGGAGAGGGTGGGCACTGTACACGTCGCGCCCCGTTGGCGGCTACCAGGCCACGCACGTGCAGCGGGCCACGAGTTGCCTGCCGTACAGGGGGATCATGTCCCTGTCCAATCCCTTATCCCATGGGTTGTTGAAAGATCTTGGCAAACTTGCAGAGTTGAAAGGACGGGGTCGGATTCTTGACCGTCACTTCGAGACGATAAAAACACATGTGAAGGCGGGAAACTCCGTTGCGAAGGAGCGGTGGGACGCCATCGAGAACCCGTGGGGGTTGAAGCAGAACGGTATCTTCGACGAAGGAGAGTGGATCGCGCAGATTGATGGTGAGATCCAGGGCATTACCAGCAGCACCCGCTTGTCCTTGTCATCCCAACAAGATGCAGCAGCGCACGAGGTGCTGCTGCACCTTCTCAGCACCGACCTGTGCTGCAGCGGGTACCGCAAGGAGGAAGGTGGATCGAGGGAAGCACGCCAGAGAGAGAGCTGCGAAAGGCACAGTAGGCGGCAACATCTGCAACGCATTCTCGATTGGCAGCGGACAACCGGTGAGTTCGGTTACATTGTATCCGACGCACGCTGTTGCTTTCTTTTGCTACACAGGTGTTTTTGTTTTTTAATTCCCGATAGTCTAAGCAAGAGAAAATATGAAAAAATGGTATGTTAATTAGTCTAATGTGACCCAAACGAAACAGACGTCAGCGCCACAACTAAGAGCGACTGACACGTCACATGGCTCGTTGAATCCCCCACACGGCAATTCCGCCCTTTCCCATCGCACCGAGCAGATTGAGCGGACTCGTGGTGGGGTGAAAGAGTTCGTATCCGGTATCAGCTTCCCGCCTGCGGCCCCGGAGTCCCGCCGATCCTGCCCTCCCTGTCCCATGACCTTCGTGAACGAGCAAGGCCTTGGGATCCACGTGAGAACGCAGCACAGCAGTGCAAACATGTCCAGCGGCGTGCGGCTGCGGCGGATGCTACGGAAGAATCTCGAAGGGCGTGTCCTGCCGTGGGAAGAAGCCGGGCCTGGGCGTTGTTGGCACGTGAAGGTCGATCATGCGACGGGGGCCGCTTCGTTTGTCCTCCAGCGGAAGCGCTGTCGCGATCTAGACTTGGAAAGCGACGGCTTTATGGACCGCGAAACCAAGGAAACTCGTGGAGCTCCCAAGCGCAGGCGATACGACTATAGGTTCAAAGCCAATGCTGTCAACCAGCTGCGTAAACTCGAGTACAACGCCGCGGACCTCTGGAAGGAGGAGGAGCGCACGCCCCTTCAGTGTTCAGAGGATCGTCTCAAGGTTCACTACAGCAACATCGTGAAGTGGGCCAAGGACGAGAAGGCCATAGTTGCGGCGGCAGCAGACGACGTGAAGAAGAGCCTCCTCGCCAAGCAGCAGCCTAAGCGGTGGTTTCCTGAGGCAGAAAAGAGGCTTTACAAGATGTTCGTGGAGCGGCGTATGAGGAAGCTGAAGGTATCGACCCTGTGGCTGACGATCATGTTCCGGAAGCTCGTGCGAGAGATATATCCCGGGGACCAACAGGAGGCGGCGTTCCGCGCATCCTTCAGGAGGGCACGAAATGGGCCAAGAGGCACAACCTGTCCAAAAGACGTCGGACCAACCTCAAGAACAAGTCTGTTGAGGAGCGCCTACCAAAGATCCAGCGCTTCCACCGACTGCTTCGCAAGCTCCTGCAAGAGCCGGTACGGTACAGGGCGCCCGATCAGTCGGACGTATCGGCGATTACGACGGTCGCAGAGAGGGAGTCCAGAGTTCCNGTGCCTTTGGCATTCGTAAACGGGCTGCTCGATACGTGGGAGGAGCGAGGTGCGAAGCGTGTCGCCATCTCACAGCCCTTTCCTGGCCTAGTGAAAAGGCAATGCACCATGCAAGTCATCTTTGGTCCGAGTGAGAAGACCTCGCGAATTTCGGTGAATTTCCGAGGCACGGGGAAGCGGATCTCGCCGGTGGAGAAGGCCGCGTACCACAAGGACGTGGACGTGTTTTTCCAGGAGAATGCTTGGGCCGACCAAAAGTTCTGTATGGAGTGGGCTAAGAGCTCCTACCGCGAAGGCCTGATGCGCGGGCGGGGTGAGCTTCCCAAGGCGAGGTCCATTATTATCATGGACAACTTGCACGCGCAGACGACGGCCGAGTTCAAGGTGGATCTTGCGAAGGAGTGCAACACTCTCGCCTGGTATGGCCCTTCGGAGTGCACGGACGAGGTGCAGCCAGTTGATGCAGGAGCCGGACGATTAATCAAGGTGGAAGCTGGGAGGCAGATGGACATGTGGCTCAAGCAGTCGGACAACCTCGCGATGTGGGAAACCGCGGCGCTGACAGCTTTTGATCGGCGGGTACTGATCACTCAGTGGATTGGAGCGGCCATGGCAAGACTCAACAGCCAACAGGCGTTCCGATTCCGCCTTTTCGAAAAGTGCGGGATGGCCATGACTGTGGACGGCTCAGGNGGAGCGGCCGTGGCAAGACTCAACAGCCAACAGGCGTTCCGATTCCGCCTTTTCGAAAAGTGCGGGATGGCCATGACTGTGGACGGCTCAGGCGATGATCGGATCACCTTGGAGGGTTTGGAAAGCCGTACACCTTCGCAAGCGATGAAGACTGTAGCGAGGACAAAGAAGGTTTGGAGAACGGCAGCGATGAGCCTGAGGGGCGGGGGAAGGAGGGCGCTGGACGTGAGACGGTCGTGGGGGGCGCTGATTCCAGCGATGATGAAGACGACGGCGGTAAGTTTGACTTGCAATAGACCCAATCTTTGTCATTTCCTTGTTGATGACAATGTCCATGTTAATATTTGCTTGGATTTTGCTGATGTGCTGTTTCCGCGTTCACGACTACGAACAAATATGATGGGTTCATGTTGAGTATTGGCCGTGACACCGTACTTGTGGTGTTTCACGGTGCCCCGTTCGCAGGCACGTCTCCAACCAAGACCGATGAGCTAGCTCTTCTCGACGACGATGACAGCATGGACCCACAAGACCCGGAGGACGAGACACAAGGAATGGAGATCCCGACAGGCTTTCGCGTTCAATAAGTTCAACCCGTTGCTCTTGACAGATTGCTTTTGCGACGTGGAGTGCTCGTTAGGCTGGGGATGGGGTGGTTTGGAGGGTTGATCATTCAGCAATCGCAGCAGGCCGCTCGCCACCTGTACGACTACTGTGTGCAGCTGGAGCTAGACCAGAGTACGCGCAAGATGAAGATGCCTTTAGACAAGTACACCGGAGATCTGGATGCGGCGGTAGGCTCCTGGGTTTTTCTTGAGAGCGTTAGTAAATCGGGGAGGGTACGCAGCNCTCGTTAGGCTGGGGATGGGGTGGTTTGGAGGGTTGATCATTCAGCAATCGCAGCAGGCCGCTCGCCACCTGTACGACTACTGTGTGCAGCTGGAGCTAGACCAGAGTACGCGCAAGATGAAGATGCCTTTAGACAAGTACACCGGAGATCTGGATGCGGCGGTAGGCTCCTGGGTTTTTCTTGAGAGCGTTAGTAAATCGGGGAGGGTACGCAGCACCAACGTCACCCTTGTGGACCAAGATGGTTGACAGTTGCTGCTGCATGCCTTGGTGTGTTCTTGTACCAAACAACAGCATTGTTCCTCATGCTAAACACTGTGAACATTCCGCCAAGTGCAGTTGACAGCCGCCAACAAAGTACGTCGTCATTCAACGTACGCCAACACGGCCAATTGGTGTTGAAATAAGAACAAAACATTTCGCTGGAGAAAAATGGGACGGCGAAATAAGAACATGGCCAATAAAAACACGTGCTCGGGTTGGGTCAGCCAATAAGATCTGAGCCTCGCTCAAAATAGGAGGTTCTTAAGTGCGGGCCTCAACTGTAAGCGGTCGCGTGCGGTGGCTGGCGCATGTTCTCGTGCGGTCTCAAGGCTCCAGCTTTCACCACGACAATATCTCTTATTTGAATTGAACGTGGCCATGTCTGACACGGTGTTCATGGGTTGTGACCCAATTGCCGCTTCGACATTGTGGAGGACGGAGGAGATCCCTCAACCGTTCAGGATGCTGTTTGTCCTGGTGGACAGCGAAGACCTTCGCGTGCTTGACCTGGCGCGCGTCCCGGGCCACGGTCTTTTTGCCTCGGTGATGAGCACCTGGCGCATTTGGCTCGCGGTTTTGCAGGCGACCATCACGACAGCGAGAGCCCAAACCGGCTTTGCTGGACGTCTTCACGACCGCGTTAAACAGAGCAGCGGCCATGGCACCACGCAACCCTTTCGTATGGAGTACCGTCTGTTTTCTCGGACCGGTGGTGGTGGTCTCAGCCCTCATCCACTCGCGACTCCCCCAACCTACTGCCTGACGACAACGGACGATCCGCCGCCCCCCCGCCAGCACCGACCACGCATGCCTTGCGGACAGCCAGTCAACATGCCCCCCCGACATAGGCAGTAGCATGATCTCCATGCCGAACGTCGCAGGGGTCGCTCACGCATGGCCTCGGCGGACGCTGCGCAAGGGCGGCGGCACGAGAAGTTTTCCTTCGAGCATACCTCGCACTGCTTCTTCTCAAGCCACAACCGCTCCATCCGTTTCCACCAGGACTGTCAACGAACGGGATGCGATGCGACCCAAACGGTGCATCGCATCCCGATGTCAGTCCCCGTGGAATCGGATGGAGAGGTCGTGGCTCAGGAGCACCAGCGCGGGCTATGTATGACGTAGACTTTATATGCCGTCGCACCTTTTCCGGAGCGTCGGCATCAGTGGCCGGGAGGGGTTTGGCTCGGGCGAGCCCAGCGGCGACGTTTCTGAGGACCCTCTTCCGTCGGCATGGACTACTACTGCTGTGTCGAGGGTGCAGGTGGACTGACTGTCGGCGAGGCATTCGTGCTTGGTGCTGGCGGGGGGCCCGTGTCCGTCTGGTCGTGCTACCTGTGCTCTTGTGTGCGAACGTCCCTACTTAACGGATTGTCCAACTCACGGCGCCTGCCGTGGTCACCATCACCCCACCGTGCTAGACACGACCGTTGTGAACCATTTCTTCACGCGCGCTGCATCTATCTTGTACTCCGACCTTGCCAGGCAAAGATCAGGGTGCTCGTTGCAGAGGGAAGCCTTCTGGGGCGTAATCGACGTCACGCGGCTGAGCTACACCAGGTACGAAAAGCTATCGTATTGTATGCATACATCATCCCTTTGTGATCGCCTGGCACCCTCGTCACCAGAGGCTAGTGGCTGTTTTTTTTTTTTTTGGCCGGCGGCTGTCAGTCACAATCTGGCCCCCCGGCTTGCCGACACTAGTCAACAACAGTCGTACGTGCTGCCGTAGTTTGGGGTGAAGGAGTTGGCAATGGAGTAGCACTTGGTATCCTTCGTTGTACAGGAGGACCAAGTTGGTGGACTCTGAGGCCTGCGGTCCACCGTTACCTGTGTGTTCGGCGGCTGGTTTTGTTGGGGTGCGGAATACGGTCGTTCTGCCGGCGACCAACGCCCGCTGCTGAAGCCCGCGTTCGCGCATTGCCTCGTGGTATGCGTAGCATAGAATAATATTTGACGTTTCATGTCTTGGCTGTTTTGCTCGACCATTGACAACACGCCCCCCCCCCTCGGAGGAGCGGTCGCCAGTTGGCGCCGTGAGCCGATGAGAACCGAAGGCAAACACGGAAACAAATAGTGGCATGTATATTTTTATCGTGCGCTCGGTAGGTCGTCTCCCTCTCTCATTTCCCTTTTTCCTTGCCTGGCGCGCTGCGGCATGATGCTCCTCCTACCTTGTGATTGGCCAGGCCTTGCAGCAGGTGGTTGGGGCCGCAGCTATCTATAACCACCTGCTGGTCAAGCACGGCGGCTTGGGAACGAAACCAAAGGAATGCAAGACTAGCAACGATGTCTCCGCCGCGGCCGCCGGCACCGCCGCAGATAAGAACGACAATCGGGCGGTCTGTGGTTGCGGCGGGGGGAGCGGCAGCTGCAAGGTTGGCTGTGTTATTGTTGTTGTCGGTGTTGGATTTCTCGGGCCATGTCATGGCGCAACAAGGACGGAAAGCGTCCCTGCGTGTGCATGTTTGTCATGATGCCGTTGTCGACCAATCGAGATAACATTTGTTGCCGTTTCTTCGAAGAAGAGCATGGCCTCTCTTGGTTTTCCGATACGATACCTTCCCGGGCGATAGCACGTATCCACACCGCCGTAGGCAAGAATGCGTTCTGCATCAGCAACAACACACCACCCCTATTAATTGATTAGCAACGTCGGTTGGCAGAGGCAACGTGAGGTGATCCGAGAATCTCTCTTGTTACGCTGTCGTCGTCATATTTTTTTGTATATACCATTGTCTGTGAGGCAGGCGATATCGTCATTGCTCAAGAGCGAGATGGACAAGGTCGTCGCTGCCGCAGAGAAGGAGCGTAAGGGCGAGATGCTCAAGAAGTTCAAGCAGGTGGAGCGGCGCAGCGGCGGCCTGTGTAACCCGGACCTCCTCGAGAATATCGTTCGATCCACCGGGGGAGAAGGTTCGGGAGAATCAAGTCCCTCCGCTTCGAAAACGTCGAACCCCCCGCCGCCGTCGCCGCTGCCCCCTCGCAGCCCGGACCACAAAGGACAAGACGCGGCAATCCGAGCGTTGAATAGCCTCGTCGTTGTTGATGTCGAGAAAGACGAGCGCGGCGGTGTCGCGGGTGTCGGCGGTAGCGGTGGCGGAGTAAGCAGCGGCGCTCAGGACGTCCCCTGGGCGGAGGACATGCTGTGCCGCTCTGTCCGGAAGCGACACGCTGCTGTTCTGAAGACCAGGGGCAGGGCTCTGGCGAAGGGCCTGGCGAGGATGCTCAAGGGGGTTTCGAACGACCTTAAAGGCGTTGCCTCGAGGCTTCCGCCCTGGGAAGAATGCGAAGACGACGACGAAGACAAGCCAANGGGGGGGGGTGTACTCATAGTCGTGCATGCCGTAGTCGTTAGACCATTGACCTCGCATCCCTACAAAGCCGGGACGGAGCACGCCGGGTTCTCACCGGACCAGGCCTTCACATCACCAAGCGCGAAGCGCCGTGAGATATTCGGCGAGTCGCATGGAGGGTGCGCTGCATCTTGCCAATGGTGTTCGGCATCTTGTATTTACTTCCTTGCGTACGGATGACAGCTGCGTATGACTTAATATATTTTCTGGTACTCCACTTCCTGAGACACTTGTAAGCACTGTGTAACTGCCTCGAGGGTGCTGGACCATTCTTAACACGACGTGGTGCGATCATCCCCCTTGCGCGAAGTGAGGGTTCTCGACCCCGCACAACATGATCTACTCGACCACCATAATGGTTATCGCCAAAAAAAAAAACAGAGGTACAAAAAAAAAAAAACTGGTGACCTGGTTGCCGAGTTCACGAGGTGAATTTGGTTGTTTTACAACGTCGTTGCCAGGCGACGAAAACCCAATCCCGATGGGTGGGTGGGAGAAAATCCGTCTTACTCGCATCGGATATCTGGATGCGGTCGATCGGGACCCTTTGCTGCCGTGTGTTGCTGGGAGTGACTGTACACCGGCATTGCTTGAGCTTTGACAGGGAACCCGCCTCCAATAATCGTCCCGAGGTCGGCGCCCCTTTTCTCGAGGTGCCAGATGCGTGGCACCGCCGATAACCCCCCCCCCCCCCCCCCCCCCCCCCCNCCCCCCCCCCCCCCCCCCCCTCCATTGCTTCGTCACTTCCATCGTGAATGCCATCGCAACACCGGTGCACATGACCGTTCCGATTGCAGGCCGAGCTCGAGAGAATTAGGTCGCTGGGAAACATATTCTCGGCGCCCACCCATGAGAGGATCTACTCGCGGGGCGAGGTTTGCGTGCCCCTCACCCACGACAGGAGCCTCTCGCAAGGCAGCTGCGTGTCGGCAGTGACGTCCGAAGACGGGAACGAACGGCTGTCGCTGTCGTCAGACAACGCGCCCACCGCCGCAAGTACTAGCTCGAACAGTAGCGCGGCGATTAGATCGCCGGTGGCGGCAATGGCGGCGGCTGTGGCGGCGGTAGTAAGCCCTGACTCTGATGCGGTTCCGGCGGCGGTACCCGGCGGCGGCGCAACTAGCAGCAGCGGTGGGGCGGGCGGGGGCGCCGCGGATTGCGTCAATAGCCGCCGCCAGGACTGGAAGCTGAGCGCTCAGGAGCTGTCCCTCATCAAGAAGGAGGAGGAAAGGGTCATGAAGCCGGACGTGCTGACGACGCTGCTTGCCAAGGGGGCGAGCCTTGGATGTGAGTCACCGTGGGGGGCGGGGAACGCTTGTTGGTCGTCGGGCTTTGTTTTCGCTCGACTGCCTTGTTGATAATGATCCAAATGCCTGGGGCATCTCTAGATTGGGGGGGGGTGAAGGCTCCGAAGAGGCGCTAGGGATGCGTTACTGACGGGTTTCTGCTTCGATGGAAAGGGGGGGAACATGCTGTGGGTTGTTCGCGAATAATGATTCTTCGCACGATTTTTGCGACTCTCGGCGCGTTTCCGCTCGCGTCGCTGTCGCCTTACTGATGTCAGGTCTCCAGCAAGCCGACTTCTGGGACGTATTTGCAAGGCTTGAGGTTGCGACACGAACCGAGGCGCTGCTCAACATCGCTATCAGAGGGGGAAGGGGTTGCGCGGCAAGGTGAGATTTTGGCCCGGATCAAGCGTTCCACAATGCACAGTACGGTGCTGGTGTTATAGATGCAGCAATCGATACTTCCACACGCGTTTGCGAGCCGGGAGTAGTCATTTGCCCTAAGTCGACGACTAAGAAATAGATGAGCACACCTCAAGTGCGCATCCGTAGACTCTGTGCTTCTACTCTTATGCTCGTTGCTCTATTCTATGCCGAACCGGCGGCGGCAGCAATTTTTGCGCCGATGTTTGTTTCGCCACAGATGTTTGTTTCGCCAGCGGCGGCGCGTCTTTCACCTTTGCTGTATGATACTTCCCCCGTGTCCGCATTTATCACCCCGTTCGTCTCCCTCCCGCACGCCGCTGCAGGTCTGGGCGGATGGGGCGCGAGCTGTGCATCAACCTGACGTCCGTGGTTCTCGAGGCTCTCAACGCCGTCGAGCAAGCTCAACGCAAGGCGCAACTGCACTCCACGCCTACCACGCCCACCCCACAGCAGCAGCAGCAGCAGCAGCAGCAGCAGCGACAGCGGACACCCAGCAGCGGCAATATGAGTGGGGGCGGCGGCTCGGAAGGCAAGGCGGCGGAGACAAGGCCGCGTCCGTCTTCCGCGCGTCTCTCTAGAGGGTCGAACTTTGGTCTAGAGGCCGAGATGGACAACGGGGGCCCGGCGCGCGCGAGGGCGGGGTCGGTCGGGATGCTAGCGGTAAGGCGCGTGGTGAAGGGAGAGAGCGTGGCAGGGAAGTCGAGGGTGTTCTACAAGGAAGACCCCGGTTTGAAGGACTTGGACCGGCGTGAGGAGGAGTTCCGAAAGGTATTGTATGTAACGAGGCTTTTTTTCGTCTTCTGGTTCTGTTGCCGTCCCTTTTTCGTTCGCTCGGCGGAGGGGAGAAGCTTGAGGTCGTGCCATCGATACGTACAAGAGCAGCGGGATGGTGCCCGTACACGCCTGTCAAGTCTTGAAAAATCAGTTGATGTGCTGCTTAGGTGGGGATACATGCACACAGGCAGTGCCCAAGGTGTGGGACGACTCTCTTTCTCGTCCTACGGTAGGCCGATCTCCCTGCTACTGCACCCTTTCGCTGTCGTGTTGAAGATGGTTAGTTTACGGTTACTCTGAATCCCTGCATCCCCTCCGTTCCGATGCTCGTGCACGCCTGAACGTTCAGGCGATCTACGTGAACCGCAGGGCCCTGGCAACCAGGCTCATGCGCTTGACCCGCGACGCGCCGCTCTGCTCTCGAGTCCTGGGGACGTTTGTGGACGACACCCAGATGGCCAGCACGCCCACCAAGGCTAGCAAACCCCAAACCAGTCCCCGGAGCACCGGGCTGAGGACACCTCAGCGGCGCGTGGCTCCGGAGAATGAATCATCGCGGTTTGCGACCTCGCCGGGAAAGACTGCAGAGGAGGTGGACACGGGCGTGAGGTGAGCTCACGACGACGACGACTGGAACCCTCTGGTTTTTGTTTGTTTCGCGTCCATAGCAGTCGCCTTTGAGGGCGTACGTACGCAGTTGGCTCACTTGTTGTGGTTCTCCCAAATTTTGGCCCCTTACGTTGCCGTAAAACGCGATTTAGCTTCTCCGCAGGGAAGCAGCGGCACGGCCGTTGTGTATGAAATTGACCATATTGTTGCGACCGTGTTGGGCTATTGTTCTGCCTGTCGACAACAGGAAATCTTCGTCAGTCCGAGAGAGAGGGGCAGGGAGAGGCGGTGACGCCCCGGGCGCTGCGGCAGCCGCCGTCGATCTTCTCACTGGCGACGTCGCCGTCGGCAGAGAGGAGTCAAGCTGCGCCGCCGACCGGGGCTCTACTGAGTCGCACCCTTCCTCCTCGGGTTCGGTGACCAGCACCAACACGGAGCCGCTCTCGGAGGGGACTGAAGACAGCGACAACGCGCCGGCCTCGAGGTCGCCTTCACGGCAACAGCGAAAGCAGCAGCAGGAGGGGCAGCACGAGAAGAAGGTGGCGGTGGACCAAGCTCCCGTGGCGGAGATTTCACAGGTGTGCAGGCAGATCCGAGGTTTTTTTCCACCGCGGGAGATGGGTTTTATGGTAGCTTGCGGTTGTGGGGTGGTGGGAATTTTGGGATGGCCTGAGTTTGGTATGTTTGGGACGCATGTTCGTTTTGGTTGCCATGTGTCTCATACAAGGAAGGGTCAACGGTTTAGTGGTGGTGTCAGGGGTTTGGTAACTTGGCAGGAGTGATTTGTGTCGAGCAGTGATGCCCGACATGTCGGTTGTTTGGTTCCACCGTCCGTGTAACTTTTTTTCTGAATCTATGTTTTTGTCCTGCGAACCAAGTCCGTCTGTCGACGGGTTCTTCTCTCTCTACGCGGTGCGGTGTCTATCGCTGCCTAGTCTCTGTTCACTCGCGCTTGTCCATGCCTCACGGAAACCTCAGACGGTGTGGCCGACAATATCATTGCTGTTTCCCGGGATAATTCGAGAGGAGGCGTCTGAACCAACATCCCTGCCCCCCCCATCGTACCTCTCCTCCATCTGCTGCACGTCTGATGCTGCACCCTAGGTCTCCGACGAATCGGTCGAGGTCGAAACCCTGCTCGTGTGAGCGAGCAGCAGCTCCTTCGAACGAGGCTTGACACGACGGCCGTGAACACCCGGCCAAGGGCTTAACCGAGCCCGCATCAAGTCTGTCTCCCATGAGTAAACCAGGCGCCCATGGTTTTGCCCACAGAGGCGTTGTGTTTCCACGGAAGGATAGAGCGAATGAGAAGAAAGCGATCGGGAACCGGGTACCGACTTCAAACCGTTTTAGAATGACGGATGTTTTGGTCGCGATGGTTTTATGGCTTTCGACTGCTGTATATGTATGTCGTTCCGTTTTCGTTGAAGCTGCTGATAGTCGTCGAAGAGGTTGGTTATGTTGGGCGTAATGCGACAGAATGTCAGGGATCATTATTGCTACATGCTCGCTTTGGGAGAGGCCCCAAACGTTTTGGGCCGAAAAGCGTTTGGTTTGTATTGCCACCTTTAAATTCATTCAAGCAACAACGCTTGCAGAGCTCGTAGTAGTCGTCAGGATACCCCATAGGCGATTCTTGTTGTGCACCAAAATCGTGCGGCGGGAGAGGGCTCTGTCTCCGAGCCTCCGCGGCGTTCGTATTCTGTCTCTGCACGAGGGGGATCTTTGAGCCAACTGCTAACCCGTCCGGGTTCTGAGTACCCACCAACCGCACTTTCTTTTTTCATTTTGTTTCAGGCGGTCGCTGTGGTCATTCACCTCAAGCGTTATTTTCTTCAATTTGTGCGCAACACATGCGATATCTTGGCGCTGTATTGTGTGTTTGGGACAATGAATTCGCGCTCCCGCGTCGATGCAGAAGCTTGGGGACCTTCGGTGTTCGAGAAATCGAATGTTGAAGCCGGATGTTTTTGTTAAGGTCTGGGTACGGAAGGTGCGGGGGGGGGTGGAGGGAGTGGTGCGAGTAAAAGCAAAGTGTTTTGGCAGGATGAATCGGCTAGACAACATGTCTGCAGTGGATGCATATATCAGAGTATATAGTCGTTGGATGGAGAGGGTCGGACGGGGATCTGATCGGCTGCTTGATGTGGTATGTAGCAGTTCATTAGTCTTGCTGGCGCAGCAAGGACCACACTACAGGGCGGCAGTTGTTTGATAGCAGTCTTCAAGTGCGTGTGCACAAATCGAGTTGGCTTGAGAGTACTTCCGGTTTTGTCTGTTTTTGTGTCTGTTGCGTTTGTTCGATTGGTGCTCCTGGTAGTTCTTGCAGGTCCATCCCTCCAGCGTCGCCTTGTGTTCTCTAATGTATTGTTTTGCTTTTGTTTTGAAGTGTCGCATCTGATGTACAGCAGTAGAAGGTGTGCACGACATGGTGTTCGATCAAGTAGCGCCATCACCTAGGGCAGGTTGGGCTAAAGCAGGGGGGGTAGAGCTAGGGAGGCAGCATTCGGATACGTTATCCCCGTTTTGGATTTGTTCAACACGAGTTGGGGTGCAAGAACATGAGGAACTACACTCAAGTCCTCCATGTAGTATGTAGTCGTGGCCATGGTGGCAAGAGAAGCATGCGCGGGGATTTTTGACTACAATCGCGTTCTATTCAAGGGAGCGAGCTCTGTTCGTTGGTGAAGTCGTGTAGGGCACCGTTTGTACCTCGTACATTTGCATTTTTTGTCCTTCGTTGTCCGGCGCTCGTGTCATTGGCAGGAAGGCTTGTCCCTCGACTAGTCTCTCTTGGTCCCAAGACGGAGCATGTTCTTTCTTGCGTCATCAAACATGGATTTGTTGTGTCGTAGCGCTTCTATTCCTGTCGTTGTTCCGTCTCTCTGAATCCTTCTCGAAGTACGGTTGAGCGAGCTCGCGCCAGCTTCGATCCTGCACAACGTTCATTGTTGTTGGTTCTTTTCATCCCAAGTACCAGACTCTCTCAGTATTAGCAGTACCTTGCAACATCCGCACCTATCCGACTGACGTATCTCCACCGCACATGTTGAGAGTGGACGGCCGCCCATCGGCAGTGAGTGTTGCTGGGTATGAAAAAGACAACTCCCGAGAGCAAGCTAATTTTATCTTGCAGTCAGGGGCATATCTCCCGCCAGCTTGGTAAACTGGCGTTCTCAATCATTGGTACCAGTCACCGCTGTCGAACAACCGCGAGGTTCCGAGAGACCAGGACATCGATCGCGCCTGGATTCTATCTTGTGAATGGTCGGAATGGTGGCAAATCGGAGGCCTTGGGATTGTTTCAGCATTCAGCACAGCACATCACCGCGAGAGAGCGTGCCTCAGACGGCGAACGAAGCAACCTCATGACAGGCACGCCTAGTAGTAGCACACAACCCGGGTCTCTCTCTTGGCTAGACAGTAGACCTGCCCCACGAGCAACTTGGGAGATTTGCGCTTGTTGCAGACGATGGGGGTCCTGCGAGACTGTTAGGTTCTTAGCCACTCACCGTGGCGGGAAAAATCCCTCTCGTGATTTGTTACCCACGCACAAACAACAACAAAACACCCACACGGTCCAACTTTAAAGTGAGAATAGTGGGCGACCCCTTTGGACCTCTTCTTCGTTCTATTCCTCTTCTGTGAGTTAGAAAGAGAGAGAGTGTGTGTGAGAGAGGGAGAGATCCGTGGCGCGCGAAATCGCTGGTCTTGAGAGAGCTGGCGAAAAAACAGGAGGTGAGAGGCGCGGAGCGCATGCATGCATGCATGCATGCAAGATTGGCATTTTTTCCGCTTTGCCCTCCGGGTGAGATGGTGCCCTGCTTGGCAGAGAGCCAGAGAAACAAGCGAGGGCATGGAAATACGCAATCTCTTGCCTTTCCTGCCCCAATGTCAGCATCCGCCATTGATGGTTGGGTTCCTGTGTAGTTTAGAGATCAGCTCTTGGGGCAGCGCTGGTGGAGCTAGAGCGCACACCCTGCCTCTGAGCGGGAGTTTGTCGCGACCCTGCTGGTGTGTTCCGTCGAGAATTTTGACAAATAACAGCGGCAGACCAGCACCTATTTGCCTGCTTGCCCGCAGCCCTCACGGACTATCTTGAGTGCACTTTTTGCCACCCTTCCGCCAGTTCGTGGCACTCTGCTGTGTGCCTCTCGCACAACCACAACCATAACCAGTACTACGTAGTTGCCGCATGATCTGCTGGCGTGTTCGCTGTGCGTCGGACCGACGGCCCGCTCTGGTTTGTATTGGAGTGATATATATCGCCCGGCTGTGCGCTTCTTGCCAGAACACTCTTGATGCCCTCGTTTATACGCGTTCGTTCAATGCACTGAGATGGCGACGCCCCCGCGCTGACCAAAGCGATTCCGGTAAGCCTGACCGAGACAAGTCATGACCACCCAATGTGTGTGCCATGTGCGAGGACAGAATGTCGTGTGTGTTTTTATTCTTTGCATCGACCGCGCTACCCGGCTGACCAATGAAGCGACGTCAGTCTTACTGCGGTTGAAAACAGGAAAGACTTCTATCTGCCATGAACTGGGACCCCGTGAGGCGGCAGCATGGGGGAGGCTAAACTATCCTTTGGATCAAAGACAGAATCAGCAGCAACAGGAGAAAACTGTACGCGTCTACCAAGACTATTACCTTGTACTCTAGTTCGTTTAGTAGTACTTTCACCATTGTCTTCCTTGTTTTCGCTACCATCATTCTGATCCTCATGTTGACAACAATCTCTGGGCAGTTCTTCCCTAGCCCTACGTTTTTTGTTTTGGGGAAGGTCATCTGGCTCAAACCCTTTGCTCTTTTCCACTCCTCCATGTTTTCCTCCTCCATCGTCGTCTTCGTCCTTTCTTCGATTTGCCCTGGGGGAAGTTGGTCGATCAGAAGCCCATGACGTTTGAACACATCGCGAGGTAGCATCGACAGAAAATGAGCTAGCTCGAAGGTAAACCGTCTCCGAATCCTGTTAGTATGACAAGCTTTCAGGCGAAAGTCGTGTGTGCGAAGTTCGTTTCGGAAAATATTTTCATGTCTACAACTGCTGTAGTTGAAGAGGAGAGACAAACATGCACCCACGAGCACATCCATGGCCCATTGCTTCTGCGCTGGGGCGAACGTACGCACAAGACGACTCGCTTCGTCGAAAGCAACACACAGAAGTAGTGTTTCCTTCGAATTTTGTTTGCGTCCTGATTTTATTCTACATATCCGTAATTCCCAGACACAGCTGCCATACGGTTTGGTGATGTCAGGTCGCCGTGCCGTCGATAGGAACGAAAATGCTGCAACAAGTAATAATTATATTTCCCCTTGGTTGGCCTGCTTAACCGTTTACGACACAAGATATCACACCCCCTGGACCCACTGTCAAAGCTCGATTACTCCACGAGGAAGAGGATGCATAAACGGCACGATACATTTTCAGAGAGCTCTCGAACAGCAGGCATTAACGCCGCCGTTTTTGGCACCCCCACTCATTCTGCTGTCGACAGATCGCGCTTGGAAAATTGGGCCAGGGGGTGTGTTATCTTGTGTCGTATACGGTACACATTACACGTGCCGGTGTGCCAGCACGTACAAACAACTGTACAATAGTGAAGGGTGATATCTTCGTGTGTCGTGTTGTATTCACAAGGAGCCGAGGAGACCACCAATTCCCGCCAGTCAGTGTCCGGTGTCGTGTGATTCTTCGTCGGATAGAGAGCTCCCAACAAAATCTGAAAAACAGGTACAGCACCGGTGACCCTTTGATTTCATTGCTAATCTACGTTTGTTGTTGTTGTTGTTTCTCACATTAGCTCTATAGTCCATAAAAAATGGGGAGCCCGTGGTCTTAAAACCCGGCACATACGACGCCGCGGGGAAAAAAACAAAAGTAGGGTACACTCAGAAAAAGAAAACAATATTATAGAAAATAACAGGTATCGCACCGACCGTTCGAGAAAAGAGCCCTCGGAAACCGATCAAAATAAAACAAGAACAAAAATAAATGAGGACGCTTCCCACACCCGCCCGTATCGTGGACTCGTTTCTATAGATGGAAATGGACTCGTGTCTTGTGTAGTCTACGCATGTTGAGAAAAAAAGGAACTTATTTTTTACTCCTTACTTTTTTCAATTGTAGTCAACCTTTGAGACACCCACGGAGCGCAAGTTAAGATGCACCCCGTCACGTACGCATGGAAAAGTGTGATTGATATGATTGGTTCTTCACCAATGTACGGCAAACATGCGAGCGGTAATAGTAACATCTGGGGGGCACAACAGCGCCGATGCACGTGATGACCACCGAACGATCTTGCAGGGCCTGTTACCTACCGGGGAGATATGCTGTACCATGGAATCGTATGGTTGGAAAAACAGGTAGAAAAATAATATAATGCCCTGGGGCTTTGCGAAGAATGGTACCAGGATGACACCCATGACTATCATTGGCTTCTGCTGTCCGCCTATGAAGCTGAAGCCAAAAGGCATCATCAGTGTTGGCTGGTCCTATCGTTACATCCCACTACAGGTTACGCGAGGATCAGAGCAAAAATACAGGTATGATCGATCCTGAGCACACTTGACGAATTGATCGAATTGATGTTGTGCTTTGAACAAGGGATGGATGCACATGGTTTCATATTGTGCAGTGATCAACAGATGGATGCAAATGGTGTTTATTGATTTTCTGAAGTGAACACAAAAATCTGATTAAAAAAAAAAATGTATGCATACACGATTTTCTTGGATGCATAGGTAGAGGGTTGCCCCTATTTAGTGCCTACGGGATACGACCACGCAGATAGAGGTTACCACACGTCATACCATGGTACCTATCAACACATGCGGCGGCATTACTACTCCAAACTATTTAATGGTATGCGTACGTACACATGCCGGTCGCCCCGGTGGTTTATGGGTAACCGCGCAGCCTGCCAAGGGCGAGGTCGTAGGATCGAATCCCGGCAGAGTGAGTTTTTTTCTCTCTAAATAAACCCTGGTCTAGGATGAAAGCGAGGCGCTGCAAAGCTCGTTGTTAGTAAACCATAATCGACTTCGTAAGTCGCGAGGGAAGGGATTGCTGTACCCTTCTCGCGATAAAAATACCTCAGGCAGGAACCGCAGGAGGGGGTCCAGCCACCCCCTCCCATGTGACCTCGGCTGGGTCGACCCCTCCTATGTGACCTCGGTTGGGTCGTCTAGCTAGTAGAAGTGGAGGATAGGGGCCAGAGGAGCAGACGACAGAGTCCAATGATGGGAGAAAAAAAAAATGTCAAGGGTGGGGTAATGAGCCGCGGGGTACGGCTCAACACCTTGCCGTCTTTCAGTAGAAGTCTATGTGCGATTACGAGACCCTGCTTCCAGGTATCAACCACACACAATGCGGAGAATTCCGCAATTCCTACATGTGGATGTGCGGATCTTTCGAGCGGATCTCCAAGACTGGTGCATGCGCTTCCCGCTGGAGTGTCAGAAAGCTACAACACCGACGGCGGGGGAACATATAACAAGTACGCCGCCGTGACACACTGGCCCTGCTTACAGCGGCATTATACATGAGCAAGTGTGGCAGACACAACTACACTATAGATAGAGCCCGTTGGGAACCGCGGTGTGGAGAGAACCAGGAGCACCATTCGAACATGGCCAGCCCTAACCGTTCTCCGGAAATATGTTCGAGCGAATCTTCACGGTTGGTGCATCCTCTGTCAAATGTCATCGGTACCTACACAAACGGCGGAGGAACGCACAACACGCCACGGTGACACACTCGCCCTGCTACATCAGCAGTACCGCCAAGCAATCGGCACCTGACAGTACTGCCGCCGGCAAAATAGATGAACGATCGCGGCAGACACAAGTACACAAGATAGAGCCCATCGGGCAGCGCGGCGTCGAGAGTGGCAGGAGCACGGTTCGAACAGAGCCAGATGTACCCGTTCTCTCGCGTGGATGGACCGTTTCTCATCATCTCGTTTTTTTTTTCTCATGGTTCGCTTGCTGGAGGCGGGGTCGTTTGTTTTCTTCCCTCGCCGCGAAAGACATTGTACCTGAGCCTCATGTGGCGACCGCGCCAACAACACCAACGCCTCGACTTCGCTCTGTCGTACTCCTGCTGCTGTGGCAATGACTTCCACCTGGTATTTTCAACCATTGTCGTGAGGTTTCCAACGGTGAAGGAGTGCATCGTCAAGACTCCCTGTTGTGTAACCGAAGAGCGGGCACCAGACTGCTGTTTCTGCTTGCTGTAACATTCGGAAGGAATTGGGCCACGTCAGGGAGTGTGTGTGTTTCTATGGATGTGCGCGACGAAGATAGTGTCATCTCTGTTTCTCCTGGCTTCTGGCTAGCTGGCTTCAGACGCGAGAACCTCCGGTTTGTGTTGTCTCTTTACCTCGACAACTCCCCGGGTGAGGGTGAGGGTGAGGTATCTTCTACGAGTTCTCTCTTCGGAGCACCACCATACCCGCGTGACGAAGAGCGCCCTGTTTTTCTTCCTCCTGAAAGCCAGCAGATCGTCGATCGGTGCCCTTACGGTCTTGTTTGGGTCGCAAATGAGGTTCATTTAGCCCCCCCCGGAGATCAAGTATGAGTCCCTGCATCGCGTTGGAACAGGCCGACATGTAGACCCTTTTTTCTTCTAACGGGGATGGGGTGGAAAAGGAAGCTGCTGGCGCCGCCTCACAGCTCATTATTTCATCGTCAAGGATCGACCAAACCAAAACCACGCACCAGTATTTTTCTTTCGTGATAAGACCTGCATTACCAATATTTTCTTCTTTCACCGTCAAGATCGGGGACAAGAAATGCTCCCACCACCGCGTTGGCGAACACTTGTAAGGGCTGGTGCAACGATCTACGCACAAGGAACGTTTGTCCTCGTACGTGTGCGGCAGTTTACCCCCGAGGTGGAGGCGTCGGCTAACCCACGGGGGGGCTAACTCAGCCGGGGATACTCGATTTCGGGCTCGCAGCCACTACAAGACTTTCGTTGCCAGCTCCGTGTCACCACCAGCCTCAGCACCTTTTTGTGCCTTTTTTTGTTTCGTTCGCCGGTGCTTACAGGTGAGAGAGAAGGGTGTCGTTAGGATCGTCCAAGGCGCCGCACGGTTCTGCGATGATGAAGGTCGTCGCACGCTGCTGGTCGGCCGTTGCGCTACAGCTGTGCTTGGCGATGTGCTTTAGCGGCGTGTCGTCGACCCCAAGCTTCCCGGGCTGCGACGTCATGAAGCCGGAGGATGCTTTGTCTCTCGGGGATGGGGTCTGCGACATGCTCTACAACATCCAAGATTGTGGCTACGATGGAGGAGACGTAAGAGTTTTGCGTGACGTCGCTGACTGTTGGTTCTCTTTTCGTGGGCACTCAACCTTGTTGCGTGGTGTTGAGTGCTGGTGTGTGGTGGTCACTGATGTGTGTGTGTGCAGTCGTGGTGCCCGGGCGATTCGCCCGCCCAGAGCAGGGCAGCCACCGCATTGAAACCGTAACGGAGCGTGATTTTTTGTAGTTGGAAAAAAGATCGAACCCGCCCTATGCTGTCGACCCGCCCTTCGGAGGGCCCCACAACTGTACCGTTTTTTTGCCAACTACGTTGTCGGCACGATTAGTTTTCGTTGGGACGTCTTGTAGCATCTTCACCTGTGGTGTAGCCAGCCTGTACTCGTCGTGCTCTTTTTCGCGCGATACGATGCCTGCTGCCGTGGCCGACGAACTCTTCAGCTCGTCCCCGACACCTTTCTTTTTGTTCCCCCCTCCTCCCCTCGCCTTAGCCTTATCGGCACCTTTCCATTTAATCCCCTCTCCTCCCCCTCATGTCTCATCGTTCTCCCCCCGGTTTGTGACCGGCCTCCTGACGCGCTCGATGTGACAGTGCTGCCCCTGCACGTGCCTGGGCAGACGGGACCGGGGGCAAGATTCTGGTATGAGGGCACTCTCGGCGTGTTTTTTCTTGCCGTCGTCTCTCTCTGGCTTGGTAGTAGAGACGGAGCATCTATATTTCCTGTCGTTAGGGATATCCTACAGATTGTGGACGTCAGTCGGAAGAGCTCGGCCTCTTTGTACAAGTAGGTAGCTTTTTACGAATGGATCGCTTATTATTTCGTAGCTTTGCAAATGTGTCATTCACCCGGTTTAGACCGCACTTTGATCAATCCTCGCACCAATTCTTCTTTCGGTCACCCCCCCCCCAGTAAATTAGTAAATTATAAAAGAGGTCATGAAATTAGACGTAGTTTCCTGCAAATGGCCGCAAAGGCGGGAATACGTTGGTTGTTGTCGTCGTTCATTAGCTTTCCAAACACCTTTGCGCAGAAGCTGTAGAGTAAAAGCTGTCCCGCGACCTAGATGACCCAAAATTGTCACCCCCATCACCAGCAGTGCTTGAAGATCTTCCGCCGACCCCCAGGGCGACTGCCGTTGTATGTACCTGTGGATATTCGCCGACTCCCCCCCCCTCTGTTTTTCAACCCTTCCCTAGCGGCAGACGACGCGTGTGGCTCGAGCGGCTATCACTGCCTCGACCCAATGGCTCCCTGCTTGGCCGAGCACGAGACAGCGCTCCGCGAGCTGCAGTCGGGATCTGACGCGGATACAGGGTCCACCTACACAAACGACGGGTCTAACACGGGCGAAGGATCTTACGCCAACGAAGGATCGTACACGGACGAAGGATCTTACACGGAAGAAGGATCGAGCACGGACTCGCGTAGCCCCACATCGGCCCCCACCGGGGCCCCCACCATGTTTTCTAACGAGGACATCGTGGACGCCTTGTCCACTGCCGCCGATGGCCTCTCAGGCAGCGCCATCTGGGCAATCGTTGGGGTGTGTCTCGTCGTCGTGCTCATCGGTGGGGCGATCTACCTGCACAAGAAGCACGGTGGTAATGGAGGCGGTGGCAGCAATGCCCCCAACTATGCGGCCGCAGACTCGGCGAGCCTCACGTAGTTGAACCTGGTCCGAACGCGCGGACAACGAGGAAATCATGTGCATAGCTCCACGGGTGGTGTTGAGGTACGCTATTATAGCCGTACCTGTGGTTGCCGTCGTTTGAACCTTGGCTCTCACGATTTGATGCGCCCTCCAACCAACAGTCAGCCACGCCGTGCCGTCACAACGAGATTTGGTTTTTCATACTTCAGACCTTTGTGTCTTGTCATTTTGTTTTCTCCATTTTGCAATTTTTGGTTTGAGCTACGTATGCACCACGCGGATCACATCCCTAGATGTTTTCGCCGTGAGCCGTAACCTCCCCCCCCCCCCCCCCCCCCCCCCCCCCCCACCCCCCCCCCCCCGGCTCCCGCTGGTGCCCTCCTTCGCTGCTGTTCGCCTCCCATACAGTATGCCACCCCTCCAATGTCNCCCCCCCCCCCCCCCTTCACAGCCTATTAGGTATTGTCTAAAGTCAGGAAATTCCCACGTGGTCGGTAAGCACCTTGGTAGCATTGCCTACGGTTTGTATGGTGCGGAGCTCACAAGGACGTGGTCGTTTTGCTTAGAAGCGTGCTTGGCTACTATTTCTAGCCGTTCGAAGCGCTGTTAATATGCGTTGTGGTTGCCAGCGTGCACGCATCTGAATGCTGCAGTGATTGTGGCAGTTGCAGTGATCGCAGCAGGTCTTGCTTGATCGATAGGCAAAGTAGGGAGGGTCTATAGTTTCATTTGCGCGTCCTGGAGTTACATGCAGTCTGGGGCAGAGCGCCATCTCCTTCATGATGCCGCGAGCAGCAAATATTCGTTTGCCTCTTGTTTCATTCCGTTGGTGTAACACGCGTGTAAAACACGCGTCTTTCCTCCATTTTGCTTCTAGTGAGGTTAGGCTGGCAGGTGGGACATGCTGACGACACACACTTGCCAACTTTTCGGGGCGTTGGATGATAATAGCTTTTTCTGTATGTTGTCGTCTGCTTGTTTTTGCCTTGAGTATCACCCAGTTGGATCCATGGGATCCACCTCGTGTCTCTGAAATTGTTACTCCAGGAATATTTATGTTGGTTATTATATGTACGAAGCTAATGGTAATGTTTTTAGTTCGTGTATATTATTAGGTTGGTTAATGACAGCGGGAAATCCTTTCTTTGGCTGGAAGAGTGGGTGCGTGAGAGGATGAACTGCACAGATGTCAAAACAGACGTTGTTGTCAAGAACAAATGAGGAGAACGGCAGCGGTCAGGATTACTTGAGATGCTGGGTGCGTGGTATGGAGAGCGTTTTGACGACTGTGATGACAAGACAATACACAGTGCTGACGCGGAATAAGAGGTCGCTTTCAGTTCCACTTGGAAAGACGTGCCGAACGCAGGTACCACACTACACAGTTTTTTTCGACGAAAGCTCTCGGGTGTTGCCAGCACCGATTCTAAATACGATTTCACAGATCACTTGGTTGTTTTCTTGGCCTTCTCGCAACCCCCGCTCACTTTTCGAGCTATCGTTCGTATTGAGAGCGTTGTTGTTTTTACCTGCATCTGTTGTACGGCACGGCCAGTCAAGGTGCGATCGTTTCAGTCGCCCTTAGCTCATTTTGTCGGGCAACGCGTTCTTGGACGGGAAAAGGCTGATCGCCGTTGTTCGCGAAGAGCGTACAAAACAGGTGCTGCGAAAGGTGGGGTGCGGGCAGGACGTCATGCCCACCTGTGCTGTGGATCTGTTGGCTAATATGAACGGAGAACCCATGGCTGATATTTCTACATTTTAATTTAAACGACCAATAGAGATATCTCTGTTTGTTCTTTAGGACGCTCACCTGTCCAAACCGGATGATTGAGATTATCAATCTCATTACTCCCTCTGTCCGAGAATATAAGCAAGGTTTGGACAAAAAGCAATAGAACTCGTGTCTGCCGAACTCTTTTTCCGAACGGTTTTTTTTTCTGGTTCCGCCGCACTGGCGCGCAGCGCGCAGAACCGCTGCTCTTTTCACACCACCTCAACAAAGTGTGTTGCACCCCAGCACAACACGCCCGATTTCACCACCCCAACTTTGGAGCCCCGGTCAAACGCCTTCCCGTCTGCTGGCGGGACATGTCTGCTGCTGGGAGTGCCTCCCAGGGGCTCAAACGCAAGAATTTCAACGTTTCGGAGAGAGAAGAGGTGGTACGCTACCTTCTCGCCGACAGCGAAGACGGGGTTCGGC